TTTTTTTTTTTCCTCCATCACTTAGTTTTGAAATAGGCAGCTTAGTTTGCCCTATCAAGCCATAGTTGTGGTTGCAGCTTGGACAGCTGGATGTCGTAACTCTGGCCCCTCACCTGAACAATATTAACCTCCTGGGTATTGATCAGCAAGGGCATGAGAGCACAAGTATTTAAAATTAACAGTTTTGTAAACGTGTAGATTAGGAGAATAGATTGAAAGAGAAGTGGCTGTGGCTTTGGAGATTTTTGTTTTCCACTTACATTTTCCTTATAGCTTAGGATCAGAGAAGGCTTTCTGAACCTTGTGATCAAGCTGCACTTGCTGCTGTGAAATACCAGTTTAGATGTTGTCCTGGTTTGGGGTAAATAGAGCTGGTTCTGCTCAATGATTTTACTTTTTAGTAAATCATGGCAGTTGTCAAGTCTTTTGATGCAGAACACAGAGCAGCAAACACTAGCAACCACACTTAACTGGTGGCCCACAGCGTGTTTTAGTAAAGTAAGCTAAGATGCTGGAACAACCTGGTTCTTCTAAGCTTTCTTGAAAGCTGTCTGCCCAGGTTTGGGAACTGGGTAACAGTGTGAAGCCACTGTGGGCTTAGAGGGCCTTGAGCACATTGGAACTGCTGCTGCTCCCACGAAACACCCAAGGCAGGATTTGTGTGACATGGGAGATACACTTTACTGGTCAAAGCCCGGTGGGGACAGCTATCTGTACACTCCACTTCAGATGTTGGTTGGAGCCCAGGTTTGTTGTGTCTGTGCTGTTCGGGTGCAGTTGGCTGTCAGCTGTGAGCTTACACTGGAACCTGGGATCTACTGTGGGAAGAGAGCTTAGGTCAGTCATGCTACCCTATGTAATGGGCCCAAACACACCCCTCTGCCCTGCACCAGTCCCTGTGGGTCTCATCTGCCCTCATGACAATGTCATTTGGTTGTGGTAGGTAAAGTGTGGGCAGTTGGACCTTTTTTTGCCTGGTCCTGCTGCTGTCCATTATCAGCAGATGTAAGGAGGTGCAGCACATTAGGGCTCAGAGTGACCTGAGAGCATCACGACGGCCACGTCAGGGCAGTGAGCAGCAGTAAGTGGTGGTGTGGCAGGCAGAGTGTTAGTCCAGGGGCATGCTTTGCTGTAACCTGCTTTCTCAGCTAGGCTGACAGATACAGCCTGGGCACAGTCTAATGTGCCAGGTGAGCAGCAACAGGACTGAGGTTGGTGGATCTGATTCTCTTTCAGTCTCTTGCTTATTCTCCCTCTGAAGATGAGGTGGTTACTGTAGATGCTCCTGCGTCCTATAAGCTTAGGTTTCAGCTTCAGCATTACAGAAGATTTCCTTTTTTTTTCTGCTCTGCTTTGGGGTATAAGTAGAAAAAAATATAAAATTTCATCTTGGAAAGAGGGCAAGCGGGACAGATTAGTCTCTTGGTTTTGTAGAGACAAAAGAAGGCAAGCATGATAAACGGGAAGAGGATGAGAGAAGGAGCTCTAACATAAGTCTCTCAAATATGGAACAGGCAGTTCTGCTCCACCTTCTGTTGGATGGTTAGTTTGGCGGTCTCCTTAAAGCAGGTTTTGCTGCTGCAGTGCCTAGGGAAGTGAGTTATCTCATTATTTATGAAGTTAATAACCTTTAAGGAGTATGCGTAAAACCAGCGTCACTGTGCTACACTGCTGATGTCACGCCATTCATGATTTACTGCGCTTCATCCACGTGACAGATGCTTTGGTATTGAACGAGGTATTACAGAAATGCATGCTGAAAAGCAGGCAAACAGCAGGCTAGGAGAAAGACAGAGTTGTTCAGCTTTTGACAGTATTCAGTCATGTGCAGACACAAGCTGGACGGATGCAGCAGCCAGGTCATACTCACCTCAGATGCCCTCTGTTCACTGGGAACCATTCCTAGATGGCTGCAAATGAGGACTGTAATCATTCCTTTTTTTTTTTTTTTTTTCCCCCCTCTAAGGATTTTATGGAAGAGGAACTTTGTCTGGTTTACATGTCTTCAGGAGTATGTTGACCTGTAGTTAACTTGCTCTTCTATTCCGGGAAATTACTCTTACTTGCTGCCACTGTCTTCGATAGCATCTTGTACTAAAATAAATATATTAGGCACAGCTTGAACGTGTGTTTTGAAAGATAACAGAGCAGGTTTGCTGCTGTTGGAGCTGTGTCTATGGACATCTTGTTGGACAGTGAGACGGGATCCCCATCTCTTTGTGTGAACTAAAACCAGCTTTAGTTCCCCCTTATAAAACAAGTGCTCTGGCGTAGCTGATTTAAGGACTAAGGTGGAGCCCATGCTGCAGGTTTGTGTCAGGGAATGTTTAGTGTTTTCCCACTTTGTTGTGCCATGCTCCCCAATCTTCTGTGTGTGGCTTCTTTCTAATACGCCCTGCTCCCCTGGAAGGAGACAGGCAGGTGAAACATATCCCCTTTAGCAGGGCTGTAGTAGTGGGTGATGTGTGTTTCTTGGGTAGAAGTTGTAGGGAATTGCAGTCCAAACTTTTTGGACATCACAGAGAGCAGAAAAAGTAGTTTCTCTGAACTTTGGATTTCTTTGTTGACCTGCTTTTTTTGCGCTGTATTGTCATTCAAATTCAGATTGTGAGATGACGGTTTAGCCAGTGACAAGCAGGAGGCTGCCAAGTGGTGATCTTGGCAAGCGTTAACCCAGAAAAAACTTGAGTAAGTTAACTGCAGATTGCAGAGTTTTGGGCCTTTGTGCGCTTTTTCTGTTCTTAATCATAGAATTGTCTTTTCTACAGACTAGTTTGGCTCATAGCTTCCTTTTTGACATGTGGTTATTGAAAGGGATACTGATTGTTCAGTGCAGCTGAATCACTGAAATCAAGATGCAGAGGTGGGTTGCACAGTCTCTGTGTTCAGTTACGGCACAACATTAGAAGTGTTTACTTTCACACCTCGGTGTTGCATTTCCAAACATAAACTGTGGTAATCTGAAGGGTTTTGTTTAGCATTTTGCAAGTTGCTTGATGCCTAAATGAAGCCTGTAAAGGAGGTCTAGTCTTCGTTTGACATCAAGGAGTAAGTCTAGCTTGCATGACTCGTGCATGCAATTTTGAAAGGAGAATGAAAGCCTGTCATGTTCATCAGATTCTATCCTAATTGCTCTGGAGCTGAAGGAGTTTGTTCCAAGGTAACTCTGGCAGGTGTGGGTTACTGGTCTCTATACTGCAGCATATGGTGTTCTCATATTTATTTATGAAATGAAGAAATTCTTACATGTCTCTTGTTCCAACGTCATTTTTTTCTGTTTTCCCTCCCTCAGGCAAACATCTTAGCTGTTTCTTTGAGTTAATATTTATAACCAGTGAGATATGGCAGATTGGTAATTTGGAAAAAAAAGCCTACCTTGTTTCTGGGGAAAAACTAGAAAATAAAGCGTTATTGGAAAAGCTGAGGAATAACAATAAACAGTGCAGGTTCACAGGCAGAGTGTCCGGGGAGTGAGCTCCTGTTTCCCAGTGCACTCCCACCAGCAATTATGGAACTTGTTCAGTTTGACCTCCTTACCTTGAGGGCTGCCCATCTCAAGTCACTGGTGATGGACAGCACGGAGCCCTCTGTCCCTGCTGGTGTTTCAGCTCTAGGTTGGATTCATTTTGGCCACCTGTTTATTCCCTCCAGGGTTGTGTCCTAGTGAGTTATGGGGAAGTAGTTGCTTCTTAATCTGGTTTCTGATGGATGGGTATCACCTGCATGCTCAGAGACAATTGATGCACGCATGCCAAATACGTGCAGAGACTGCATATATTTGTTAGGTGAGAATGTGATGTCTCTGTGGTTGGAGAGAGGCTCCAGTAAAAGCCAGCTCTTTGGTGGCCAGTTACAAATGCTACTGGGTTTTGTTTTATTAAACTTTTTGGTTACTGCTGGGAATTTGTCACCAATTCCATTTTTTTTATCACCCAAGTAATACCGAATTGAATGGTGGTATGGACACTTTGGAGAGCACAGAAGTCATTATAGAAAAAGAGAGCACATTTGTACTACAAGCAGAAAAATAATCAGATTCAATTTAGAAAAATAATAAAAGCTAATGCATTTGGGAAGAAATTACTTTTAGTGAGGGAGGGAAACGCAAAGAACATTTCTGTGGTAGTTGGCCATGAGCTAGACACATTTTCAATAAGATATGGCAATTTTGAGCTATTTAGATAGGGAATTCATCTCAAAGTAGAGGGGTAAAAATCTAAGCTGTACTTCAGTGTATTTCATTGCAAGAAAGACAGCAGCAGGCTGCAGTGTGTTCAGGGAAGAGCAGTAATATTCCTCAGAGTGCTATGATGGCTGATTTAGGATAACAGAAATGTCTGTAAGGTTATCTGCAGTTCTCTGTACACCTCTAGGAGAGGTAGGATTTACAAATATGAAAGGTAGAGAAGACACTTGTGGGGGAGTTGAGGAGATCTGAGTGGGATTAAGAGGATGATGCTGAAGGTAGGAAGATGTGAAGCAGAATATTGGGAGTATTTACGGTTGGAGGCTTTATCTCTTAAGGTATGTTGTGTGCTAGCTGATAGACTCCTATACATCAGGCTTTAAAGGAACCTTCCAGAAGAGGTTCTGGAAGTCTTTTTACCAGGAAATATTTAAAACTGGACTTTGTGAAATCTTGGAATTTTCACTGTTGTGGAGAGTGGGGTGTTGGGAGAGATGGAGGTTTAGTGGGCATGGTCTTGCATCCACCTCTAATGCAGATGGTGTCTGGTGATGTTGCGAGTCTGCCCACAGTCAACTGCTCAGTTAAGAAGCAGGACTTTAGCAAGCAAGCATTTGGGCACCTCCACCTGCCAAGATGCAAAAATCCTTTAGAAGAGCTAAGCCCTCATTTAGGATTTGTAATAATAGTAACGATAAAAACCTCAAACCAATAAAAACAGCCCAGCAATGAAAGCTACTCCTTGTTGTATCCCTTACTGTACGTATGTGACGTGCTTCAAAATGATGGTGCGCTCTTCTTTTGATCCTTTTAGAAATAGCTGAGAAGGAGAAAAACGGAAAAAAAAAACCATCCCCTTTGTGGAGCCTTCTGCCAGGAGTTCAGGAATTTCAGCAGAGTGGTCTTTTGGCATAAACTGATTTTTCAAGAGACATTCCTGCCATTATGAATGAAGTAGCAATAGTGAAGGAAGGGTGGCTTCACAAACGAGGTAAGTGTCTCTTCCTTCCAGGACAGTAGATGGACTTTCCCTCGTGCGGTGTCTGTCCTTTAGCCGTGTATCCTCAAACAGTCTGTTTCCCGTCCACCCTGGTGGGAAACAGCATATAAGGAGTGTGTGTGACTTTCAGATCTGAGACGATGAGTTTTTGTGGAGCGTGTGTGTGTGTGCGCACCGAAAACTGTGTCAACTGCTTGGAAAAATGGTGATAAAGAGAGCAAGTGGAGGAGGTGCTACTTAGAGTGTTAAAGGTTAAACTGTAGCAAATTATTTGTACGTAGCTTTTCTTTTTATGTTAGAAGCTAGAATGTCTTCAGGTGAATCTTCATTTGAAGGGTGAAAAATATGCCTGTGTGTTGTGAGCAGTGCTGTGCTCTTGCAGAGATTTGCTAGAGAATGTGCTGTTTTGTTCATGTCTTGTACCAGTGTCCTACTTGTGTTTTGTTCGCTCTTGGTACCAGTGTCCTAGACAGGAAGAATAGCCTTGAGTTTGTGCACTCTGTGCATTTCTGTTGTAGCACTGATGACGTTTGTTTTTTATAAAAAGTCTTTATTCTTGACTGGGTGGCAAAACTGAAATGATGGAGTCACGTGTACGGTTATGCTTTTTGCACTCTAAAATGTTTTATTCCCCAGACAGTGGGTTTGTTCTTTTTTTGGGGGGATAGGAAAGTGTTTGTTTCCAAGTACTACAGCATTGCTCCTATAAAATACTTGACTTACCTGTTTCTTTGTATTCTACTATCATTTCTTGGAAAGGAGGGACCAGTGTTAGGTACTTTCCATCATACTGTCATTTTTTTGGACCAAAATCAGAATCTGCGTGCTCTAGCAGCGGGGAAGATTGCATGGTTCTGCAGATTCAGGATTTTTCTAGAGGGTTTGCAACAACTTGCCTGAATATGCAGAGGTGTAGCATAATTATTTCTGTAAGAAAATGGAAGTATGTTATTGTAACCTTGATAAAGGCTGGTGGTTCTTCGGCAACAATAAGACCTTTCTAAGAATTTAGAAAATATGTTGATAATGTGTGTTTTAAAAGGGTGGAAACATTTCTAACAGCTGGATATGCAGTTTGGTTCAGCAAATTATCTGATGAAAAAATGTTTTGATAAAGGTTATTCCCCTCTTTTTTTTTTTTTTTCCAGTTAGAAATGCCTTTCCACTCATTATCTTAACTCCTTTGACAGTTCTGGTGTACCCAGGCTACCTTGTCCTGATAAAGTATTTGTGTTATGCTGTATTTGGGTGAAATAGAAGAGAGAATTGCAGAATTATGTTTCACATACCCATTTGTCAATCTAGAAACTCTTAAAATCAGAGAGATGTTTTTAGACTACGGGGTTTTCATAACTGTCTGCTATTACAATTCTTTCTGCACTTCCCTGTACCATAAAAAAAAAAAAAAAAAAATTATTTTAAGGACCACGGTACAAAAATCTAGGGGAGAAACTTTTATTGTAAAAAAGTATGAAAATGGAATTGTATTGTCAGGATGATTCAGGGGCAGATGTGTTGGAAACTGTCACATGTTGTATGTCAAGCTTGTCTATATTTGATCTTGAGAATTGAACCTTTGTTGTTTCTAGGATTATGATAAAGCTACTTTGAAGAAAGGAGACCTCTGGAGGAAGTCTTAGTAAAAGATGCCCTGATCTCCTGATATGATTTTTTTTTTTTTTTTTAAATTACCTTAGAGAAACAGATTATTATCTCTCATGGTTTTCTGATAATATGGTGATATTATCTGCTGAACACATTTCCATTTCCAAAATGTTACTCTGCATGCCCTGCATATTTGAGACTGCAAATTTGTGCCCAAATGCCCAGACTGTGAAACGTATCTTGGCTTTCTTTTGCTTGCCAGGTTTCCTAATCTTTTTAACCTGTTCCTGATGCCTTTTTGCCTTCTCGCTATGTGCAGTGACACCTATTTCATTCCACTTCATTGACTTTGCAACTGTTACTTTGGCATTGTCCGTGTGAGGAGGGTTTTAGAAAGCAGTGCTCTCTCTCCTCCTCAGCATGCCAATGTGTCAGCTCTCATACTCTCTTGGTTTTTGTAGCTGTTCTGGAATCAGTTGACAAATCCAGTTCTTTTGGCTGGGCATGTGTATGTGGGGAAATTATCCACTCATGCCCATATGTGTTTTGTAAAGGATTTTTTTTTTTTAATCATCTATATTTATTGCCAGACCCCATCAGTTTGCTGGCTCTGCAAGATCCAGGGCTTCAACCACAGGATGTTTCCAAAACTGATGTCTGATACTGTGAGCTTCTGAAGTTAAGGCATAAACAGTAATTACTGTAGGGAGGGACTGCTAAAGAAGGATTTTAGATATAGGAAATGTGTATTGTTTGTCTTTTGGATCATTTCTAAAACCAAAGGTTGCACTACATACGCTCTTTAAAGATCCTAGGGATTTCCACATGCAAATGCTTTGAGTAGTGACTGGCTGAAATCCAGATTGGGCAATGATGTTCTCGCTAACATTCCCCCATAGCTTTGGTTAGATGTGGTGTCTCTTAGTTCACGTCCTGAGCAGTTGAACAGTATGGCTGTGTGCACATAAACAGTTGCTGCATCTCACCCCAGCAGTGGCTTAATTTTTGGTGGTTTTAATGATTTGTGTACATATAAATCAGGCTGCAAAGTGCTCTGGAGCCCTTCTGGATGGCAGGTGTATATAAGCATAAAGCCATCATTAGCAGGAGCAGGTGTTTTAGCAGGGAAATAACAGGGCTTTCTAGAATTCTGAGGTTGTTTTCTTCTGTCAGCATGCTTTACATTTCTGTTTTTGTTTCCAAGATTAAAAATACAAATGGAGAAATGAAATTAAACATTGCTGCCTGGCCGAGAGCTCTTGGCAGTTCTGTAAGTCAGTCGCTTAAAGGAAGCTCTACTTCCAGTCGTGCTGATGTTTGTTTGTGCAGGGGCCAGAGTCATCTCCACGACGTGTCTAACCTCAACCAGGCAGAAAGAGAAGACTTCATGAATGAGCTTTTTTCCCCCCATTTCCCCTTTGGCCGCGCTTGGTGCTGTTCCTCTAATTGCAGTGCGGCAACAGACTCCTGTGTGAAGGCAGAACCAGTGGTGAAAATACTGACTGCCTGGCTCAGGTGGTCAACACACGCTTAGGAAACGTGAAGAAACTCAGGTTTGAGCTTGGGGTATCGTATGTGTACATCCAAGGTATTCAGTCCCCGGCTGTGTTATGTGGAAGGTTTGTTCAGTGGGAAAGGACAAGGAAGTGGGTTGATGCAGAGGTGCTGTAGTTGTGATTGAATATGACTGGGGAAGGAGAAAATTATCTACCCAAATTGCTGCTTGTTGAGTTTGAGATTACAGGTTTTCTCAGTGCATGTCATGAGTATCCTTAATTTTGGCTGTGTGTTGTGGAACTTTTTGGCTAAAAGAAGTAACTCTGAGTGTATTTTTTTTTTTTTAAGTTTACCAAACCATTTTACAGATCTCTGGATTTCTTGTATCTTTCTGAGCTGGTCCCTCTTTATGAAGGTCATTCTATTGTCTTCAGTCTTCATCCTGTTGCCTTTTTTTTTTTTTTTTTCTTAAAGTCTTTCTGCAATGCTAACAAAGAGGGGGATTGTGCATTTTGATACTCTGTCATCTCTGTCTTCCCCACCATGTCCGGTTTTCTTATTAGGGCATAAACTCATATGGAAAAAGGAGCCTTTTGGAGGCAGAAAAAGGGGGAGGGGAAAAAAGTACACTGTCATTTTAAAAGAGAAGTAGAAATCTCAATTTCTACTCTGGGAAGCAATTATAAGCAGCGGGAGAGACCTGTACATTCATCCATTAATATTTAGCAGCAAACGTGGAGCTGTTCTTTGCTTTCATTATTAAATACTACATAAACACTGTGCAGTAGTGTTAACAGTGGAAACCAGAACGTGTCCTTCAAATGTCAGTTCATGTGGACCTTAGGCAGGTAAAACTCTTTGGCTTGGACTCTGGCTTCTGGGCTGATCAAAACGACTAAAGATTCTTAAATAAGAAATTCTACAACAGATACTTACTCCAATTATCCAAATACTACTATTCTTTTTCTTTTTGTTAAATAATTGTTTTTGTAATGATATGGAGTGATACAGATGTTCTAATAAATGACTGGTAGTCCACTGTGATTTGTCTTCCTGCAGCTTCATTGCATAAAATGAATGCAGGATCATATGTAAAATACAAGCAAGGAATTAAAAACTGAGTGTTACTCTTTCAACTTTAACAGTCTGTGATATTCTGATAGAGAATTTTAGCTTTGTTATTTTGAGCACAGGTTCATACTTGCAGTATTCTGTTAGTATTAATCCAAACAGGATCCTATGAGGTATGACCAGAAGTTAATTTTATTTATTTATTTTTTTTTTTTAAGCCACTAGGTCTCTTGTATTGCTGTTTTTCTTCACCTCTTCTTTCTTCTCTCTTTTCTGTTCTCATCACGTTCCCTACCTCTCTTTGTATGTGTGTGTGTGTTTTATTTTGGGGTGTTCTCTATTTTGTACCCTGGCTTCTGTCTGTCCCTGGGATGTAGCAGTGCACTTTCTTGATGGCCTGTGTAGCCAGAACCTTCAAGGTTCAGATTAGTTCAAGGATCGTCTGGCTTTCGTGGTATTTCAAAGGAATGACTGTGGCACTTGATACAAAGGATCCTAAGACACATCTGAACTCTGAAGATGCCAGCTATAGAGGGCACAGCTGCTTCAGAGGAAAAACTGGGGGGAAGAGGAAAGGTAAGAAACATGATAGGGGCTGAACAAAGAATGAAGGGGGGAAGTCTGTAACAGAGGGAAGGAAGCTGCTTCTACTTCCAGAGCTGAAGGGTTGGTTTTGTAGGGAAATCTGTTACTCTTATTGTTGGAAATGAAAGATAAGCTGTGTCAGTTTGTGGTTTTTCTTGTGTCTCTTTTTCAACATAAGGGGCAGTAGTTTTGCAATGCTAGCTCTCGGTTGCTTTCATTTTGCTTGCCCTGTT